TCTAGGTCTCCAATAGCACAGTTGGATACATATAATTAAAACAGTTGATGGTGTATTTTAAAATATAGAACTGTATACGTGTCCTAATACAATGTCTCCAATGAAGGAGGAAAGGCGGCTGATTTTTCCCATTGCTCACACAACTGGCCATGCATAGGAGGCGACCCTCGTGGGTAAGCCGGGTTACGTATTTTAGGCCTTCTGAGACCTTGTCAGAGCTGCAATTTCTCTACTAAAGAGCTTTCTTGTTTGAGGTACCTATTTGTAATCTCTTGCCTCCCCTGGTGTTTGTCTGCAACATGGCAAGTTCTCTGGTTTTCAAACAGCAGTGGGCCCCACACTCTCTCTCAGTGGCTGCCAGACATCCAAGTTGTGCTTGCCACTTTGAACTCTATGTCATAAGGGATAGATGCCAGGCCTTTGGGCAGCTCTGCCAAAACTCAGGATGCTGGGCACGCTGTCCACTCCTCTCTCCCTCAAGTCCAGCAGCTTCTCTGATTGTGCTGAGCTGCATCAGATGCAAGTCGACCCCTTGCGCTTTTTTTTTTTTTATAACCAGAGGCCCCAGAAATACTGATCAGGCTGGCTTAGTTAGCACTCTGAATGAAGAGGGGCAGGAACCATGTCCTGGGCAAGAACACTGGACACAGGCTCCAGGGTTTTCCTCCTTCCGGAGGGAGAAGCCTCCCCTTGGCTGGCTCTTGCTGGCTGCAGCCAGCCTCTCTCCTCCACGTGCTGCCTTTGCTCTCATGAGCTGTCAGGCATCCAGACTCTGCTGGTTCCATCCCTGCGCTCAGTGGGGCGTGACAGAGACCAGCTCCTTCTGGGCTCTTCCAAAGAGCTGGAACCTCGGACTCACTGCTTCCTCCGTCCTCTGGCCCGGTCCTCTCTTCCAGTGAAACAAGGTTACTGTTCTTTGTGTCTCACACAGATGTTCAGGGCTTCCTGTTTGCCTAGTGCAGTTCAACTTCTTAACTGGATTTTAGAATTCTCATTGATATTTCAGTCTGTGTTCTGTAAACTTCATGCTTTTCTGCAGGAGCAAGGCCTCGGACTTACTCTACTATTTTACAATGTCACTACTCTACAATTAAGTTTTGATTGAAAGTGAGTTCTTATGAGAGAATATAAAACATGCGGGGTGTTCACAATTATGTGGTAAAAATATATTGGTTGTGTGAGTTCTTCCATCTTGGAGTGATTCTTAGTATAACATAGAGGGCTTATGTGAACAGGATACAGGGATATTAATGGTTGCATTCATTTGTGTCTTTTTGATTTAGGAGTTGAGGAAATAATGGGTCTATTTCTAATGAAGTTTCCAGGTTTTTTGGGTCAGCTTTGTCTTAAATACTGCAGGATCCCTGGACAAATGAACTCTGAGGCACTATCAGCTTGTATTACTTTATGAAATTCTAGAAAATGGAAGATGATGGCAAATAAAGGCAGATGGTATTTGTACCACATCTTTATTACTCATAATGTGCTAAGAAAAGTTTTGGAAAAAATGTGTTGGATCTGTTCTTATGTTTGATACCTTGAAAGTGTTGGTTGGCCAACCAGCCCACGAGAGCCCAGCATTCATGAAGTCTGAGCATTCTTGGTTGTTTGTAAACTCTCAACGAGAGGCACAGGGATCTTTTTGACTTGTCTTGATGAATCCAGTTGGTTCAAATTTATTCTTTGTTATAAATATCTTTCCTATGAGTTCCTTATCATTTAGTTCCTAAATCATGCTTATGATTTTTTGGACTGAAAAATTTCCAAATTCCTGACAATTTCTGCATTCAAATTATAAGTACCTATTAGCTGCACATTCTTTTACTTGCCGCAATCCCACGTGCAAAAACTGGACACCTCAGGATCATACTTTGTTCCACACTGAATGAAATTGTCTCATCAGAAGTCAGTCTTCAATCACGCCAGCTCTTTCGTGTCCTTGCTTCTACTGCTTGTGCCCTTTGATTTCATGTACGTTAGTCAGTTCTCCCAATTTACCAGTGAACTCTTGGCCTTCGGATTTTTCCTCTGTGTAATGGGAATTTATAATGGGTTACCTAACCCCTTCAGTACTCAAAGGTAGGCTGCATGGCCGCGCTGTATGACCATTATCTGGTAACTTGTTGGAAATCAGTACCTCAGGCACCCCACTTGCATTTTAGAATCACTTTAATAAGATCCCTAGGAGATTTATATACATGTGATGGTTGAGCAAAGACCTAACTTCAAGGTATTTTGTAATAAATTTCTTGCACTCGTGTATTTGTCATTTTGCTGCCATTACCAACCCAAAGTCAGTCCTAATAACGTGGCTCCACGTCACACTGACGTTGCATCTTTGTATTTATCCCCACTTTGTCTTGTGAGCAGATACATGTTCCTCATTCCTCATCTTAGCAAGATCTTTAAGTAGTATGTGTTAGCAGCACATTTAATATTATTTGATGTTCTTTAACTTAGTGGCCACTAAGGTCACGAACTAATTACTAAGGTGCTAATGACAGCAGGATCGATGGACTATTTCTAAGATATGTGCATCTTAACAGAATGTTCCTGAAGGCAATGGATCTACCCTAAATCATTAACTATTCTGCTAGGTCCACTCCACTGGCTGAAGTACCTCACTAGCAGGTAAATAGAGCACACTGCTGGGTACATCTGGGTAGGTCACTGAGGCATGGCTTGGGTACTGAATACGCTTCTTTACCTGATCCTTTCTGGTACTGTTCCCAGCTGCTCCAAGCCACCATGAATTAAGCAGTTTTATTGTGCCAGGCCTTTCTGCCATGAAGTTTCTGCTTGGAGCTAGCTGACCATGGACTGAATCCCACAATCCATGAGCTAAGTCAGACCTTTCCTCCTCTCAGTGAGGGCTGGGTACTGTCTTAGAGAAGGGAAGGCTGATTAATACAAATGCTAAAGTTGGGAGTTTTCAAAAGTGGATCAAATGAGTGGAAATAATTTTGGGGGCATGTGATTTTTTTTTTTTTTTTTGTCTTCCCACTTTGCTATACTTTGCCTGTTACCAAAATGATCCGGAGTAAGAACAGTATTTGTGGACTGGATGAGTGTCTATTTAAGGTGTTCTCTTAAAGGAATATTTAACTTCAGTATTTCCAGATATGGCAGAAATTACAACTCTGCACAGACCCAGACTTAAACTTATGAGACAAGGGAAAGAATAGATGGGAGGAATTAGCAAGACTATTAGATTGTAATTTCTTCTCTAGTCACCTGTCGTTTTCATTTGACTGTAAATTACCAGGCTAGGGATGTCTATTTTAGGTACGTAGAACTCCTAGCCAGGTACCGTATACCCCAACATGTTTCGTGAACTTGGGGGAATTAAATGATTTTAATCGTTGCTCCTAGCAGGACTAATACAGTGGCAGGTCTGCAGCGCGTACTCTGACAGTGCCAGAGCTCTTGTTCTCTCAGCAAGTGTGCGTGTTCGTTTCTGAGAGCCAACTCCTGACAAAACAATCATGTCCACCGCCACCTGTCAGCCAGCCACATCCGTGTTTTCTGGGTTCTGGTATACATGCCTGGTGATACCAGCTTCATAGGAGAAATGAGGAAATGTGACACCTTACAGACTGGCTTGTCAAGAGCCCTACCCTTCCCCGCATAATGACCATGCGCTTCTAAGTGCTTTCACTTCTTTGTCAGAGCGCAAGAACATTAGCTGCAGATTTAATGTCACTGTGCTTGTAATTTGCATGTGGGTGAAAAGCTGACATGATGTGGAAGTGTGGAAATTAGACTGGTTGATTATAAGCAGCAGCTCTGCTGAGATCAATTTCTCTCTCCTCATTACTCCACCTTTTGGCTGTTTGTTGCTTCCTCTCATTACTCACAGAATTGCAGAATAAACCCCCGAGGATGCACTAGCAAAGTGCTTCTGGAAACTGCTGTTCGGACAGTTTGCATAAAGGGAACGAGGAAGCCAGTGTTCTGCATCATACAAAAGCCACTTTGTGAACTGACCTACTGAAGGCTGCGAGAGCTTTGGGAGCAAAGCTGAGTGATGAAGACATTTTCAGGGAACTGACTGGTAGGTGTTATTTCAGTTTAAGTGATGCTTGTAAGAATAAAGAATAATAAGACTTTTAGTGACAATGAAGCCACAGTGAGAACTATTCTGATAAAAATGACATAAAAATTACTGTGCTCTTATTAAAGAGAGTATGAGGAAAGAGACAAAGGTCTTTTCCAAAGCAAAATCAGGAATAAACTATTTTGGGAAGGTTGCAAGAGAAATTAAAGTTTTGTTTGTGGAGGAGATTGTAGCCGTGTTGCAATTTCATCTTCTTTCTTGTGGCAGGGGAGGTAGCGCAGAACAGGGCCAGCTTCGATTCAGTTTGGGGCGTTAGTGGGCATGTTCCAAGCAGCACCCTGGCATCCCTGTGACCTGTGCGAGGCACCGTCCTCTCCATGCCTCATTACCTGCATGAAAGGATTTGCTATCATACACGCATTACCTGCCACTACCTCATTCCAGGGAAATGAAGATAACTGCACTTAGCCTCAGTGTTACGAGTCCTTCTGTGCAGTAGGGGGAGGGCATTTTAATCACAACTGCAAGAGGACAAGGCGTAACTTAGACATGAAGCAAGTGCTTTTGTCTAAGGCTGGCTTCTCCAGCCTCTGCATACACTGTGTCTCCCACAGTGACACCACACTCAATCCCCTCTTCTGTCCAAAGTCCGTTCAGAACTGGTGAGCAGGAAAATGAGTTTCTGGAGTGAGGCCTTGGGGCACTGACTCCACGGGTTCACCTATGTTAACGCCCTGCTCTGCGCGATGCCCTGCACAGCCCTCCCAACTCTATGATCATCGGATTTGAGTTATTTTCCTCTCATCAGTACCCACTTCTTAGAAAGCTGTGGACTTTGAACTAGCAATGAAAAACATAGAAATAAGCTCTAGAAAATGCATGTACTGCTGAGGAAAAATCAGCAAAATTAAGCTGAAAAAAACAAAAGGCATGCAACAGTATATAGCTCTAATAAATTTTTTATTGAGGACCAGTAAGTTAACCCTTTATACAACATATAAATAGGTACAATCCAAGCCCTTCTTATAATACACCACTCAGCGGGCTCCTGAGTGCCCCAGTTGCTTGGGTGTTGCTTTGTGTTTATAGATGAGAAACGGTTCCAAAGCTCAGCGTATGCAACACTCAGAACTGTGCTCCTCGCCCTTCTGGGGAAGCAGAAATGGGATCGGAATTCAGTTTGGTAATCAGGTGACTACAGATGAGCCCTCATAGCTAACAGAGTGTATAAATAAATGTTCCCTGTTGACTTTTTCTGTTTCAGAGTCAGCCGGTAGAAGACAGGGCATGCAAAGACCGGACACCAATTAACCTGAGGGTACAGAACGGAGTCCGCCTCCCAACTCGGCTATTCAAGAAGACGGTAGTAAGCAGAGAATAGCTCAGAAACTCCATCTACCGCGGAGACTCTGATTATAAATAATTGAAACTGACACTGCACGTGAAGAGGGAGGCACGTGGCTGTGGATTAAATGCCGACGGGGCTCTGGGAACACCTGTGATCATGCTAACACCTCTGCGTGAGGAGGAGGCACCCACTGCAACCTCTCATCAGCACACGGACAGGCGCCTGTCCCAGGGTGAATGCATGCTGCCTGGCAAGCACTGAGGGGTTCACTACCGAGTCTGCAGGCAGGTAAGAGGTGCTGTGGAGTTCCTCTAGGCAACTACTTTCGGTTTGCTTACTTTTTACTGAGAAGAGCATCTGAGGGAGAAGCACAGTAGAAACAGAGCTACAGTCCTGACGCGGCCTCCCTCTGAAGATGGAAAGGTTTCTCTTAGTCACTTCCACGGTGTGAAGGTATTGTCTTGGCTTTGTTCCTTCTGCCTGAGTTTAAAACCCTATTACAAATAGCCCTTAGGCTTAAATAAAGTGAACAGTGGCACTGTCTGGCCAGTTTAGTAACGGTCTTTAAGACACTACAAACTTGAGTTCTGTTTATGGCGGTGAATTTTTTAACAGAGGAGGACAGTAACTGACCTATAATGCAGATAGTGAGGAGAATCCCGTAAGGGTGTTCTCCCTGCTGGGGTCCGCGTCTGGGGTTAAGCTAAGCGAGACGCCTGCCTTGGAGAAGCGGCCATGCTTGTCCTCGCCGGCTTGGACAGGGCGTGCGCTCCTCTCTCTGCCCTGGGGGTAACTGGTAGCTCAAAGTGCAGGCGCAGTGTAATACACTTCACTGAAGCAGGAGAGCCTTGTGCTTTTAAGCCTGCCACCCAGCCAAGGCAGGTGGGCTCTGCCATGCACTCCTTGTACGCATTCCTGTAAGGCCAACACTGCAGATCTGGAACTCAAGAGGAAAGCACAGCTGGCACACAGCTGGCCAGGGCACCTCGGCATCTGGGCTGCAAGTCCTGGACTTCACGAGTCACAGAGGGAGAATCCAGACCCGGGAGTGGAACCATGGGAGGCTCTGTAGATCCTACTGTCAGCTGCCTTTCAAGGGTCAATTTCCAATATTATTAGGTATTTTGGTGCTGAATGAAAAAAATAACAGAACTGCTATCGACAGGCACTAGCGTACACTGTATCTAGGGCATTTGGTTTAGAGTTCTAACAGAAACATTTTCGTGACCAAGAGAGCTATGAAATAGGCACATTGAAAGTTCTTAGACCTGCTGTTTTAAAGCCACATAACGTTCTAGTCACTCGGAAAGTGACTCCCGCGCCTGGTGAAGGCGGCAAAGGGAGGAGGAGGAGCGCTGATGAGTCAGAGCATCTGCAGTCTGCACCACCAGGGGTCTGTGTCCACTGTGTAGGGCAAGGGCCCTTCTGTGGTTGCAGACTGTGACCTGCTAGGCCTTGGATGCGCGAGGACTGTGTGTCACAGGCACTACCTCTGGGAAGACCCCTAATACACGGTTTCTGTTAGGACCTAACCGTTCTTTTTCGAGTTACCAGCCACACGCTTCCCTGCCTGTCACCTTGTAAGCAGAGGCAGAAGGCTGTATCATGGTAAAAGACGTTAGGTGACCTGACAGGAACAAAGCTCATGGTTTTTACTACACAGCCAGCATGGAAGCACTGTCACCGCAGAGTAAGGACAACACCAGTCTGAGTTCCAAGTCCAACAGAGCAGGAAGGAAGACGAGTGTCTGTGGCCACAGCACAGAACACCTGTGCCCTGAACGCGTGGGAATGCCAAAGGACACACAGACAGACCTGTGTCACAGTTCACACACACACTCGATCACTATAGAGAAAACACGAACATGCTAATATTAGCTTATCCTGAACTAACTTTGAGTCAGATGTCCGCGGCGCCGACATGCAGTTTGGTCTTTGAGTCACAAGCTGGCAGCGGGAGCCCGGCTGCTTCTAACAGCGAGGCCGGCCACAGGGTCCAGGAGCTGGTGTCCTGGCTCTGAAATTCTTCTCGTGGAAGCACAGTTTTAGCTCTGCCCTTTTCACCACATAGAGAAAAGCAGGCCATAAAACCGCTTTACTGTTAGAGGAAGAAGACCACACAGGAGAGGCTGCAAGGCAGCACTCAGCGCACTCACATAGCTGTTATCTATACTTAGTTTCTTTTAAATATTTTTACAACAGAAATAGATGCTTATATTCATAAATTTAAGATCTCCACGTTGACATATATGTAAATGACCTCAAAATAATGTTCCATCACCTATCTTTCCTGTCAGTAGAAACTCAAAAGTAATGACTTCCTCGCATAATTTCGAATACAGTAAAAGTAAAAACAAAAAACTGAACTAAGACAAATACAAAAAATAACAGAAACCAACTAAATCGAGTGTACGACTGGGTCCTGTTTCTGTGAGAAGCAGCCCAAGCGCGGAGTCTGGGCGTGGATGTACAGAAAGGGTCCGCCATGGGCTGCAGGCCGTGCTGTCCCCTCACAGCTCAAATGCGGGGAACTTGGCTTTGGTGGGGACAAGCAGGTCCGCCAGGAAGTAGATGGTTCCCGCCATCCCTGGAAGAGACGGGCGGAAGTTACTATACCGAATGATTCCACTGCAGGGGAGGCTCCACATTTTGGATCAGCAGCTTTATAGTAGTCAGGACAGTGGCCTGAAGGAAACAGAAGTCTGTATTTGTGCACTTTGCAGCTTGTGGTGAGGTGAGATCCCTAGTGCACACTTGGCCATGTGCCCAGGGCAGGACAGGACAGAGACTGGAGCCTACCAAGTCCGCATCCCTGCCTGTCACTTACCACAGTGAGCACTTTGGCCATGGTCTGCTCATTTGTAATGCTTGGGTGGTTTACAATGGCACCTGCAAAATGCTCGGCCTGTGCCTGGCGCCAGGCATGGCAGTAACCACCGTGTCTCCCGGCATAGTCTGTGAGGCATGCTGACTTTTACACTGACCTTCAGGTCAGGAACTAAAGAGGTGGTGTAATGACTATAAAATTAATTTGCTGCTATGACAATTCAAAAGCATTAATTGGTGAGCAGAAAAGTACCTACTGCTCAGATAAATAAATAATGTGTGCGAAATACCTTCGAAGAGGGAGAAGGGGGTGTCCGGGGTCCTGCACCCGTGTTCTCCGTAGTCTAAGCACCATTCAGCAAACTGAAAACAGAAGCAGGTCACGTTACTGGACTGACTTCTGCTTGAGATTCTAGCAGGTGACAGATCATCTTAAGGGCCACTCTGAAAAGTGGGACACTGTCAGGTCAGGGGAGGGAGGACTGCGCAGGGACAGACGGCCACTCTACAAGAGGAGGATGTAGTGGGAGGAATTTAATCAACTGCTTAAGCCATGGGTTGCCAAGGTTCCCAAGAAGAAGGGAACACAAGTTGTACTACGGCTTTTTTTCTTCCATAAATACTGCTGAGTGGAATTGTGGCCCAGATTGAGGGTTTTTCTTAAAGAATATGCCTGTTACCTGTAAACTCATGTCTTAGAAACGTAAGTCACTGAACCCGATGAGCTACAGTCCCCACTCGAATCTCTGGAGAGGTGGTCTGCTGCTGCAGGCAGCCTCCTACCTTACAAGCCCTGTACAGGTACTTGTGGTCCTGCGTGAGGTTGTAGAGCGTCAGGAAGGCGTAGGCATTGCCCGCGGCGCCGTGGCACAGCCCGTAGCCCTTCTTCAGCAGGCCGTGCTGCCAGACCACGTCAGCGCACTGGTAGGCGTAGCTCAGGTACCGCTCTTCCCCGAACACCTAAGGGTAGGACACAAGCTTCATTATGAGGCTGTGAAAGCCATTCCGTCCTGCTAGGAAAGGAGGAGAGATGGGGATGGGGACAGGGATGAGGTGGCAGCGGCTTCGCAAGAAAAGGCAGGGGTATGAGAGAGGAGGGGGGAGGGAGAGAAATGCGGTATGTCGCCAGTGCCACACCCTTAACGCTGATCAGCGTTGCTGTGTTGTAAATAACTCTACATGGCCTGCAGCTGGGCACGGGAGGTTACTGACTTAGCCTGGAACCTGCTGTTACCATCAGTCACCCTTCAAAGAGCACACTCACCTCTTCTGTGACTAGGAAACCCTCTGCCATTAGGAAACTTCCTCACAGACCAGAGAAGAAACTGGCAGCTGTTAACATGCAAACTGATTATAAAGCACTAGATTTTGTTAGAAAAAGATAACCTTTCACAATCTTTTGTTGTCTTTCATGTCTTGATCAAAAAAATATTGAGTAGATGCTGTTAATATCTCATTGAAAACAAAGTGTCCTTAAAAGTAGTAAAAAGTAGTTTAAAAATTTTCCCTTTATATTTAACTTTCTGAGGTGAATTTGATGTAGCAAAGCTTGGTTGTGAGAAGTCAGTGTTTATAGTCAAGAGACTTGTCATTTGTTGATCTGGCACCTCTGGTCACCAATATCTTGGCTTCTCTTTTTTCAGTTAAGGATCTTTATGTTCTTGGGTACAGTCTTGCTATAGCAAGCTTTTTAGGAGTGATATTTGTATGTTTTTACATTGTATTAAAATGTACATATTATAAACATTACCACTTAAACAATTTTTAAACATACAATTCAGTGGCATTAATTGCATTCGCAGTGTTGCATAATGATCATTATTCGCTATTTGCAAGACTTGCTCAGCATTCCCACCAGAAACCGCACCCAGGAAGCAGTGCATCAGCACCCTCCAGGGCTCCAAGTCCTGGAATCGCTATTTTCTGTCACTATGAATTTGCTCACTCTAGAATTTCCTATTAGCCATCCCACTGTGTAGGTGGTGTCATACTTGGCCTTTGTGTCTGGCTTCTTAGTATGTTTTCAAAGTTCATGAGTTGTGGTACGTATTTGCATTTCATTCATTTTTAAGACTAAATTCCACTGCATGTGTATGCTACAACCTCTTCTGTTAGTCTGCTGATGGACGCTTGGATGATTTCTGAAGGAGCTGAATACTGGCACATGGCTATCTGAAGTGCTGTGCTTAGTTTCTGTGGGTGTACATCTAGGAGTGGAACTGTTAGATGTAGGGTATGTGTTGCTCGCATGTTTAATTTTTCGAGCACCCACACACTGTTTTACATGCCAGCTGTGCCACTTCCTGTTCCCCCCAGAAGCGAGGTTCTGAGTCACCTGGCCCTGCCTCCGATGCTGCTGTCCTGGTTACTCTACCTGTTGTGAAGCAGGCACCCGCTCTATGTGATGAGCTCTGCTAACGTACAGTATAATCCTGTGAGGATTATAAAAGCCAATGTTAAATTATACAAATTTTTGTTATGTTTTCCAGGTTTTTTTCCTTTTAAATGCAGAAATAGTACCTTATAGGCCTGCGTGAGCATGTAGATCACCCCAGGGGCACCGTGGCACCAGTGAACAAGCAGATCTCTATTATCATCTAGACACGGAGGGTAATTGCCAGAGGGGAATTTCAGCTGGCAGACAAAGTCCACACTGGGCTTCACCAAACTCTGTAACTTTGCCTGGCTCACTTGAAGGCTGGGCTGGAAATGAGAAAGAATTATTATTAGTTCTGCAGAAGTGAACAGATCTTCCCAGAACCCCGTATGCATTTTAAAGCAGGACAAAACCAAACAAAAACCAGGAACTGGAGAGTTATTAAAATGCCTTGGACTTTATCCAGTTTCTTTCTACCTACCCCAAAACCTTTGTTAATTAATCTTTTGTGATCTTATAATTTTTAAGTAATAGAACAAAGTATATTCGGCCATCAGCTCAGGGCCTTCTGTGTGCATTAATTTTCACTATTTGTTACTTATTTACATTTTATGAATAATTTTTCTAATTCGACTCTTGGGAATATGAGTGGAGATTTTCCCGAAAATTTCAATTCCTAATACATTAACGAGATGCAGCAGATTACCAAGCAAACTTGCATTACTACATTTAGGAAAGTGATAAGTGACCTTTTCAATAGGAAAGGACACCTGGAATCCAAGGTCAAAATGCAGCACGCCTTGATCAGACCTTCTGCGGAGGATTTACAATCAATCCACAGGACACACTGATGAGGGCAATGAGGTGCCATGTTTGACAGAACTTTTAAATCTCTCTCCTTGCTTCTGCTCTTAGTTCAGTGCACTGCTCACTGTTGTAGTAACAAACCTGAAGTTGTGTGGTCAGCAGGGGGGACGTGAAGATGGGTGGGCAGGGGTGTGGAGCACGGGCAGGTGGAGGTGCTGGGGCGGTGGGACGGTGCAGCTCTCCCGAGGTCCTGAATGTGCACTGAGTGCTTCAGGGACAGAGACTGTACCTGACATAAAGACAGGGCTGACGCTCAATGCGAAGCATTCGAGTGGAATGGGGAACTTTAAGGGCACCCACCAGGACTAAAAATAACTCCGGTGTACATTATGCTGGTACAAAGGCATCGCTAGTGTGGCCTTCCAAGAAAAGAATTAAATCGTTTCAATGTGTAATAATCTGCAGATGGAAAAATCAATACTTGAGCCTTCTAGGTACCTTATGAGAGCTAACAGAGGCCGAATGGAGGAGGCCTCTGGCAGCATCTGTCATAAAGGTCACAGTGGTCACGAAGTCACTGACGTGTGTGCTTCTCACTCACGTGACACGAATTCTCCTTCCCGAGAACTTCTAAGGAGCTACGTGTACTTCGGGGAAACAGAGCTCCCAAGAGGATGAGTCAGAAAAATAAGGGAATTTAAGCTTAAGTTGCCAAAATCCCTAACTATAAAGCTTCTAGTGAAGATGTTCAGAATAAATACAACTGTCTCTGCATTGCCACTAAGAATCCAAGCGTGACTCTGAATTCCAAAGCACTAACACCTTCGAGATTTTTAGCTCTGCTTTCCCTGTTTAGTCACAGATAGAGGGAAGGCCTGATGACGGTTTTGCATCACAGCCAGCTACTCAGCCTGCTGGAAACAGGCACATGTGCGCTGTGACGCTGCATGCACTGATGGAACACCGCACCCATAGCGCCCTCTGCAGAGGTGAGGGCAGCTGGTCTGCGGTCTTTGTAAGTCAGGAGTTTCTGCTGCAGGGAGTTCCATTTGTCCGCAGTCCATTTCATTGTAACGCCTCTCAGTATTCTCAAAACCTAAGACCTGCCGGAGCCAGTGCGTTAGGCGGCATTCACTACAGTACGTCCTCAGCTCTGCTTTGCGAGCTCGGGCAACCTGCTCATTTGTTTCTATTGATTTTGTTTCAGTGTGCTGTGCCACGCAGTGTGGAGTGATATTCTGAACTCGGGCACTTGCTGAAAGGCAAGAGTAAAAAAGTACTTGATGTACACTTATGGTCACCATAGCCTGAGCAACAGCGCTGAGTAGGAAAGTGTGCTAACGGGCAAGTCAAACATCACGAAGCAGTGCCTTTCATGTTTATATGGTTCAAAAGGCATCTGGGCCGGTATTCTTTGTCTAGGTCAAGCGGTTAAGGGAGAAAGCGCTGCGGAAGGAGTGGTCTTCTCCCTAGGCCGGGAGGCCCCGGGAAGCACACTTTCAGGTCTCACCGTCCGCATCCTCACCTGCATCAGGTAGTAGTAGATTCCTGCCAGGCCATGAGCAGCTCCCACATAGTACTCCTGGTACCATTCATACATCAGGGGAGACTTGGCCGTGAAGTTTCTCTTTCTAGCTAGGTTTTCTCCAGAGGTTAAAATGGTTTCACAAATCTGTAGAGAGAAAGTAATGAAAGAACTGGAATAAAAATCTCCTGTGTGGAGGCAAAGAAGTTTTTCTATAAGAGGCACCCAAGAATGATAGCAAATGAGAGGCCACCTTCGGGCTGGAAGAGCACGGTATACTGCTTCAGACAAGTGGATGTGACTGTCTTGTGCCCGCAAGAGGGATGGCAGCTAGATCATGAGTGCTTGTCACTAGTGTCTGCAACAGTGTACCTATTAAAGCACAGCCTGGTGCATGCCTGCACTCCCAGTGCTGGGAGACTGAGGCAGGAGGATTCTCCACAATTTCAAGGCCAGCCTGTACTACGTAGTGAAACCTTGTCTCAAAAAACCAAAATAAAGGAAAGCACAAACACAGGAGGATTTATCTGCACACCTGGGAGGTAAAACCTCACCCTCCTCTTCTGAAAGGGTCTCTAAACTCCCCAGTAGAGCAAGTTCTGACTCAAGGTCCTCCCTACAGAGGTTCCGGGAGTCCTGGAAGCTCCTGTCCTGTCTGTGCCTGACCTCTGAAGGTCAAAATGTACCACCTCTCCACTTGGGGTGTGCTGTGTGGAAGACCAAAGACAACAGTTCAGGCAGAGGATAAGGCAGTGGGGATTCTAAAAGGACTCTAGATGCACAAAAGTGTACCTGCTGAATATGGCTTTGGGGAATTTTTTCTGTTCCAAAGTTCTTATTGACAAAAAGAAGAGCGTAGATGTAGCCGATCCGTCCGTACAGCAGTTCATTTGGAGCATGCGGATCGATCTTATTTAGGTGAACCAGCCTAGGAACAGAAACATGTGTCTAAGATAATCTACAGGGATCAACACAGGCATGCATGAAAAGCTCAGTGTTCCCCAACAAGTCCTCCACAAACTACTATGGGACTGATGAAAATTTGATGAAGGAGAAATACAAGTGTGTGCCTGTGGCTCCCCAGGAGCTCCCTCGTTCCTCACAGAAGCTCCTCTCAGACTGGGACTCAAGCAGCTGGGGTCGGATAGGCAAACAACTGCTTAACACCCAGGAGAAAGGACCAAGTCAGCGCTCCGGGCAATTTTCATAGGGAGAAATTCCCGCTACCTCTCACTCTTTCCTTCCTTAATTTTTGAATGTGTTACTGGTCCTATGGGAAATATTTCCCCAGCAGCCTGCCCTGCCCTGCCCTGCCCAGCCTAGCCTAGCCCAGCCCAGCCCAGCACAGCCCACAACATGCCCTACCTAGCCAGAAGCACACGAGCAGCACAAAGGCCCGGGCTGTCCCGCTGGCTCCGACTGTCCGCAACAACCTCGGCTACCAACTCTGCCCCACGTCTCCAGCCTGCTATCTAACGATGCACCGTCACACTGTTGCGCTGGTCCTCTACCAGCAGACTCCATTCAGTCCTGGTTCCAGGACAGGTGGAGTAAACTCTCCCCCCTGCCTCTCCCACCCGTGCAGCCCTAAGTTCTGGACGGCGAGGAAGCAGCTATTTGAGAACTCTAGAGGCAAGCAGCAAGCACAGTAAGAAGACCAGAAATGGAAGAAGCACCAAATGGAGCGAGTTTACCAGTTTCCCCTGGCCTAAGCTCAGGACCGTACAGGTAAAAGCTGGGCAATGGGGAGGCCCAGGGAGAGCCCCGAAAGGATCCCTGCAGCTCTCTCAGGCCCCAGGCCATCAGCAGTACTATCAGGGAATGCAAAGGAGTCAAAACTGCGGGAGGAACCTGGCACCCAGATGTGAGAACCTGTGGCTCCAGGAGGAGGGGAACCACCCGCCAGCCACCTCCATCTTCCCCATCACCTGGCTCTCAAAGCAGGCAGGGAGGCACGGGCTTCCTCGCCCAGGGACCAAAGCAGCAAGCCCCAGGGAATCGGAAAGCAGGGGAGAACAGAGATAGAGCAAACGTGGGAGAGAACCCTGACAGTGAATCTTGTTCCTTTCTTCAGGGAATGTGTGGGGTCCTATGGCAAACTGACAGAAAAATATGTCCTTGCTATTTGAGATTATTTATCACACTGAATTTTGAAAGTACATCTGTTTTCCCTAGGGTAGCCTGAGTTTGGTGTGATCCCATTTAAGCTATTAAAACACTTAAAGTTTTGGTGAAACCTGACAAAATGGCATTAGTAAAAAGAACCAGGGAATTTCTAGAAAACCAAATTCATCGGGTGGTTTGTGATACTCAACAAATTAATCTCTATTCTAGCTCTACACTAGCACATCTGTAAACAGACATAGTGGAAATGCCTTTCACCACGGGCTGAGGAGTGACGGCACAAGCTTTCTCATCCTGCAACGGACAGGAGCCCTGAGAACAAGGTAGGGGGCTACGCCGAGGTGGGGCTCTTCTGAGGCCTGTCCAGCTGGCAGACGGGGCAGAGCCGAGGGTCACACAAACGGCTGCACCAGTCTGCGGAGAGGACCACAAGGAGATGACCAACAGTAAGCACAACAGAAACCGAAGCGAACTCCAGTCTGATGGTGGGCTACTGGCAGACCTGCGCTAACAGCTCAGTGAAAATGTCCCACCTGGGAAAGGAAGAACAACCCTCACCTCGACCCCCCCCCCCCCCCGGCACTTTGGTAAGTTTCAGGGAAAGGAGGGAGCATCTGGGGTTTGAGGAGGACGTGGTTTAGTAACAGCATAAGCTGACTTTAGCAACCAAAGGAGGCTGACGGTTACCAAACAGGGCTAAGAACCTACAAAAAGGGCCGCCCGGGAACCTGTTCCCCAGGAGAAAAGATGGGTTTGAAACAGCACGGCTAGCTGCAGTTACTGAAAAAGTGACAACTTTGTCATTTGCACCTTAACAAACTGAAGCATCTCAATTGGAGAAACCTGCAAATGCTGGCTGCTGTGGTTTGTTCTTTTATAATATAGTAAACAAGCTCACATGCAGCAGTGGTTATCTCAGGAGCAGGTCGCCACGGTCAGGTTTCTATTTCACATAATAGCTTATTTGATCCTTGTTTAACAGGGACAGGGCTGTGCAGGTGGCACTGTGGGCCATGTGCTTCAGTACCATAGATAGGTGTATATACACACAGAAACACACATCTATACGTGTGTGTGTGTGTGTGTGTGTGTGTGTGTGGTGATGTGTGTCAAACCCAGGACCTCGTGCATACAAGGCAAGAAATCTACCGCTGAGCTACATCCCCAGCCAGCCCTTAATTTTTTGAAGAATTAAAAAACATTAAGAAAACAGTAATTTTCCCCCTCATGCCAGAATTGGCAATTTAATTAACACTGAGACCACAACAAAACAAATCTGTTTACTAGTTAAAAACTCAACTGCTGGGCCAGGGATATAGCTCAGTGTTGTAAGCGCCTGCCTAGCATGCATAAGGTTGTGAGTTTGATCCTCGGTACAAAACTAACAAAAAAACCCCGTCAAGTGATGTAGTAAAAAAAAAGAAAAAAAAATTAATGGCTAAAGTTCAGATAAGAACCCATTATCAAATTTTAACATAAATGTATCCAATTGTATAGAACTGAAATATAAAAACTTCTGGTTTGCTTTTTCAGATGAAACTGAAAAAACTATTCAAAAAATAAGATTTCTGTTAGGTTTTTAGGCAAATGCTACCTAAGGAAGTATTAGTCAGAACAAATACTGCAGTGATTTTCTAGCAAAATAAAACGCTTGAACCACTTTCTTTTAGATAATACCATTCCTTTAATGCCTAATGTTATGTTACCACTAGGTGGCGATACAAAAATAGCACACCAGTTAGGTATTTGAATTTTGAAACCAAACTCACTGGCATTTGTGCTGTTCACTACAAGTACCAAACACCTTTCAGGTACCAAAAATAAAGCACTGCTCAGAGCCAGCATCTTGTTACAACAAAACTTAGGGTGGTAAGAGAAATATTTTTTTTCTGAATTTAAATTTAAATTACTAAAACTTTATTGGGTCTAATTATTATTAACAGTGGGATTTTTTAATGCTTGGGTTGCATGCTACATTTTCAAGATAAACTAAGTATGTGACAGCATTCATAAATAACAGTGGTTATAGGTTTGAAGAAACTCAAACCCATAAGAACATCACTGGAGCTCCATTGGTTTGTTTTGGTGTTGGTATTCATAGCAACCAATCTTTAGACGACATAAGCAAGTCACTAAATGTCACTGGAGAAAGAATAAAGACATTTAAAATTAGTATACTTCTATTTCATTCCTAGTAATATTTCCCCAGGGTGTTGTTGGGGAGAGTTTTTTCCCCTGCCTTGTATTATATCAAAAGATTTGTAAAGTTAAAAAAAATTTTTTTTCTGACCCATCACACTATAAGAGGGACAGGTTATACATTTCCTGTCCAGAAATCCAGAGTTCTTCATCATTCTAACTGCGGGCCCCAAAGTACTATACATGTCAGGCTGGTCACCTAATTGGGTACAAAACAGGCAAAGCCTTGTTTGTTTTGTGTCACCAATAGTTCTGCGCAGCAGGAAGGGCAAAAACAGGCAGGATACACATCTGGCAGAAGAGTCAGCTCTGTAGCTGTCACCCACAGCTCCTGGCCATCTGTAAGATAATGTGAACAGAAACTCGGCCACACATTCCTTTCGGAGCCTCTGAGGCCCCCCAGGGGAAGTGCAGGTCCTCGCTCCACACTGAAAATAATCTGCAGGTTCCTTCCACAGCTGGAAGCCCACAGGTTCCCAGAGGCCCAGGGCTAAGAATCTCTTTCCCAGGCAAACACTGGCTTCTCTGGATTTCAGTTCCTTTGTCTTAAGATTTAGGCTTTTCATAAATTCAAAGGCCTTTTTGGACTCTAAAATTCAAAATGATGATTCTGAAAGGCATTAAATTAAGAAAACACAGGAAAGGTAGGTTGGAATGTGTGGCTGGCCGTGGAGCACAACAGAGACCACAGGCAAAACGTCTGAGTGCGGGTGAACCCCTAAAGGGGTGCGATAGGAAGGAGAAGCTTTAATAAGTAACTGACAACATAAAATAATTTTGTCTTTCCTGAAATGGAAATGAAAAGAATTACATATTTTTCCACTGTACAATGGAAGAGATATTAAGAATGAAACAAATGTTATAGTTTATAAATAATTTTTTCCTTCTGTACTACCAAGAACTCTATAGTCAAATGGGGCCATACATCGCGTATTTTCTGCCATATTCCACATTCTGTATTTTTAACTTTAATAAGCCTATTGGCTCTGAATAAAATACTGTTGAAATGTCATATGAACTTTAAAAAGATATAAGAAAAACATCTTTATTAACAAGTTATCAAGGCCCTCGGGAGGGAGGGCAGCCAGGCGCATGAGCAGGGCGGCCACCGGGACTCTGAGCAGTGGTGCTAGAATATAGTCCCTGTCTGTCTGAGCCCCATCTATTATTTGTGCAACCTCGTCACATGCCTGTGCGTGTTGTGGGAGAGAGCAGCATTATGGATAAGGCACTGGGATCACTCACATTTGATCTGATGGCACTGAATGAGACTACCTTGTGGGGCTCGTGTGGCTAATGGCTTGAAACTGGCCGTGCAAAAATAAATAAAAGGTCTTTTTGTGTTTCAAATTTCTACACTGGCTGGTCATATGCAAGTCAAGTGCTATGGAGGAAACATACTTTAAACTTTTGAGGAGATCAGTGTTTTGTATTACCGGTCTCTTTGGTCAAGCGTGGTGACAGATTTTTATACTGGATAATTCCCAGCCCTGAAGTGGAATGTTCATACTTTTTTCTCCTATCTGAACTGTCTTTTAAATTTTAAATTGTACCACGTGATGTGTAGCCTGTGATACACACAGCATAGTGATGTGTAAAAAAAGATACATTGATTCAGAGACTGACTTAATATGATTCACAAACCACTATAGGTAGTGCAATGTAATGCCTGTGTGACAACTTCAGTGGAAAAAATCAGCTCACACTAAGAAAATATAACTGCCATATGGGAAAACAATGCGGAAGGAGGGAAAATTTGAACCCTTGGCAAACATAACGCAGTCCTATCTGCCCATACCCAGAAAGCCTGCTGGTGAGACATGCAGCATCACACACTCAGTACCCGTGGGCAGCGGTTCTAGGACCACGGGGCAGACGCCACAGTCTGTGGATGCTCCGGTCCCTCGAATAAAACGGGTGTCAGCACGTAACCTATGCACTCTCCCCTAGACTAACGCATTTCTAGGCTCCGTGTAGTGACTACTACACACGTGTAACCTATGCACACTTTCCCACAGACTCTAACGCACTTCTAGGCCACTTGTAATGACTACCACACATGCTATGTAAATAGCTGTTGTGGTGTTTTGGGAATAGCAACATGGGAGAAAGTCTGAACATGCTCAGTACAGAAATAATTTTTCCTCCAATATTTATGAACCATGTTGGCTGGAACTGTGGATATGAACTTGTACATATGGAGGGCCAACAAAATATGATTACCCAAGCTTATGACAGTAAGGCCATTCCAGCAGTAATTTGTAAGAACGAACAGTGGAGATAAAAACCATGGTTGAGAGATAAGCACTGACTGAAACACCGTGCTGGTTATCCGGGAGCCTAGGGGGCCTATGTGCAGACTTTCAAGGCAAGCAGAGTCCTTAGACTTCAAAAGGGTGCTCAATAAACTAGTAAAGTGATAGATACAGCACCAATAACAGGGATTCCTCATAATTTACAAGGCTGTAGTGGGCAGTCAGATTTATATAAAAATGGGAGTCTACATTAGTATACCACTGCCTCTAAGATAGTCCTGCATCAGTCTGTGGTCCTTAGGAGGCCTTGAGCCCACATGCGAGAAGTGAACTACCTGTCTTTGAGTAACTGAGCCTGGGAGTACACCTTGGATCAGTCCTCATGTGAGAGGCTTCTGAGCCCCCAATCCTGAACACAACAGCGTTTTATAGCTTGCTATGAAACAGGGACTCCAGTGATTTTTCCTTAACTCTGCAACACAGGAATAGCCTGAGAATTTACCTGGTGCAGGAGTACAATGTGTTTCCCGAAACAAAATAGACTCACTACCATGTTCTGTTGTTACATGTGCAGCGCGTGAAGCAAGGCATGATTACCGGGTGATGCAATCCTCTGCCTGCTTCTCGTTGTTCGTCCTGTGATACAGCGCGGCGGCCACGGCCAGGGGGCCCGCGTCGCCGCACAGGAAGGTGATGGAGCGCCTGCTGAGGCAGTTCAGGCTCTGCTTCACGTAGCTGTGCGCCATCTGCAGGTAGGCAGGGTCCCCGAACACCTCGTGGAGATGGAGGTACAGCACAGCAATGCCTGTGAGGAAGAAACCAACAAGGAGGACCGCCGCTGGACTTGCCCGCTTTGTCTACTCAGTAAAGTGGGGTTTTGTTTTTTTTTGTGCCCTTGTAAGGCAGGTACTTATGCCACTGAGCTAAATCCCTGGCCCCAACTTGGGGGTTTTTGATAAGGTGTAGAAAATAAGTAAATTATCTGAAAGTTCTTATGACTTTAGCTCTGGGTTCAGTTCCTTTGCCCAGCTACAGGTAAACCTCTTGTCCTCAGTCCCTCATCACTGCCACTACTCATAATAAGGACACCAGGCCTTTGGGCAGGAGAAACACACTGCTGAGTTGCCTTCTGCACATCTGGCTGCTGTGTTACTCTGTTATCCCTGATGGCTAAACGCTAAGTTATGGAACTATGGACCTAAATAGTCCTCAATTTAATAATTTATTAATAATGAATGTTTTGTCCTTGTGATCTCAATAAATTCAGATTAGGCAATGAAAAAATTTCTCATTACACAAAAGACAATTATTTGTGTGAGAAGGTCATTTATTTAACCAAATTTAATGCCCTAGTGTTCTTCCAGGCAGGGGTTATAAGAAAGTTATTTGACATCTGAGAAAATGTGTTCGATTCCTCTTTAATGTTCTTTCCTCTCTCCAGGACCCAGCTACTTTGCTGGCAGTAGTGTAGGAGCCATGGGTGACTTCTGCACTCCACTGGCTTTTCTGCCTCCACCTGGAGCCTGCTCTGTGTAACTGAGGCGCTGTCTGTCTGTCCTAGCTCTTAGTGTCTGTCACAGGAGATTCTGCCTTCCTTCTGAAGCCAACTGGTTTTAAAACACACTCAGATGTGGAGTGGGGAGTTAGCTTGCCTGCAGCATTTTCAGGAAGTCTTTTTCCTCCTTAAAATACATTTTCCATCTCATCTGCCATTTTTAGAAGACACAGAGCCTCTGTTTAAATCTAAATTAATAGAGCCAATCTCTTCACAGATTTCAATGCAGTAAAAATTCAGTCTGCAAAATTACTTTTCACTGTACTGAGGACAATTTTAAATTTAGATAGTTTTCTCATTTTGCATGGGTAATCTCAAAAGCTTTGTGCTACAGACAATTCAATTTCACATGTATATTAAGGCCAAATTTTCATTTCCTGCCAAAGTTAATAACCTTGTCTGCTCTTTCACAGTGGCTTGGTGTTAGTAATTCCACAAGCTGATGATCAGATGTACTGACTCTTAAGGTCTGCAGTAAGTGTACAGACCCATGGATGCAGGTAAGAAAAAAATTCTCCTTTTCACAAATGATCAATGTCAAGAGCTTCTTCCAGAATTAGGTCTTTAATAGGCTCCATCTCCAACCACATCACGCAGCTGCTGGCAATCCATTTACACTGTTACCCTTTCATTTGGTCCTCCGAGTCCTGCTGCTGCCTAAACGCCCCTAATTAAGTTATGTAAGCAGCAGGGCCAGATAATGACATGAACGGAGCTGAGAAAATAAAAAGTGATTAAATACAAGTCCAGTGATTGTTTTCCTTTTCAGACCTTTGTCTCTTACAATCAACAATTCTTCTTGGCTGAAATACTTAACAAACAAGATCTATTAAGGTTTACAACTGTAAGATTTCATGTATTTCTTATGAAAAACAGGTTATTTCTCACGTCTTACAATATTTCATTCATTTTTTCCTAATATTTGTTATTTTTATTCTCCCTAGATTCTTACATCCCAGATCCCCAGGTCCGCACCCCACACTATTCCAGAGTTCAGTGCTGTGCAGTTTACAGCACCCACCTGCCCTGGGGAAGCACGCACGGGCAAAAGGCTGAGTGATGAAAGCTGCTGCCATTAGAAACAGGCCCTTCACGTACTCACCAGCCAGCCTGGGCCAGGAAAATAACAAAAGAATGACTCAAAGACACGTCAGTAATTTTGACCATAAGTATTTGAATTTAATAATAGAAAAAAATGACATTAACTGCCTATGGCTAAATGTTTTAAACCAGATTCTTATGATCCCCCAGCTCTTGATAATATTCACACATATAACATCATCATCTTCACATAAAACTCATAGCTGGCAAGATAAGAAAGAAAGGCACAGCTCTAAGGGCTCTTCTGTTTTAAGGAAAAACACACGCAGAACTTACACATCCACTCAGGAGCCTGGCCCCACAACCATTTAAAGAGCTGTTTGAAATGTCACTCTTATCAAAGTCTATTTTTTATGGAAAAAGCCAGAGAACTGTAAGACACACCACGCAAAACACTCCCTTTCATTTGGGTCACTTTCCTTACCCTGTCCCTTCTTCTTTGAGGCAACTACTTTGAGTAATTTTAGTCACTTCCTCCATTATTTGTCACCAGTTTTTAACTAAATAGGCTTTTTTCAAAGCCAGAGAAGTAGTGCAAGCTGCATCACTGTCTTTTAGGTGAGTTAAAGATTTTACATTTCCCTTGAAATGTGACCTTTGAAGCATGGGACAGGCGTGACACTCATGCTTTGGAGATCTGCTGTCGGGGCACCAGCAGGTTTGGAACGGGGGGGGGGGGGGGTGTGTGTGTGTGCAAGCGGCGCAGTTCAGAGTAGGTTCATGGGCAGAAGTGAGACAGGTGGGTGGGCACAGGAGACAATGGTGAGCTTAGCTTGCGGAGTGCTTGTCCGGAAGAAAACCCAACAGCACCTGGTGGGGAACCACTGAAAGGGAGACCTCATACAGCAGGGCAGGCGATGACACCATCCATTAAAAAGGAAACACCTCGGTCAGGGCCAGGTCAGCGAGGGAGGTCGGCAACTGTGTCCATGTTGCAAACGCACCCCCAAGTATGATTCAGGTCTGCAAAGGACACTTAACATGGTGAGAAAACAAATCACTTCAGGAGAGCAGCCGCCTCACTGGGCACCAGGTCTGGGACACAATGATGTGGAGCTTTGCCTCTTTAACATTTTCTTCCTTCCACCACAGAATATGCTACTTCTTTAAAATGTGACAGAAAATCAATTTTAGTTAAGTGCATTCTTGGGCTTCATTCTGAAAGTAAGGTAAAACTTCCTTGCATGCTTTTTGTTAAGAAAGAAGTAAGATAATGGATATAGGTTTTCTTCTATTCATTTCTTAATTCTACTCCACAAAATATTAAATGAAATTTAAATTTGATCTCATTTAATTGTGAAAATATGCTGCAAACTATTTTAATTGTATAAATTTTTATTTTAAAAATTCAATCTGGATAATTTTGACATTTTCATTAATATAACAATTTAGGTTAAATACTGTTCTGTTTTTTGGTCTACTCCAAGGTTGACCTGAACTACTATGCTATAAAAATTAATGCTTTCTGTTGAATTTTATCATCTTGTGAGATTTGCTCACATACATGATTTAAGACACAGTTTTAAAAAGAAGACAAACCACAAGAGTAAGTACATGGTGAGACAAGTGTACAGCAAAATCCTATGAGGTATTATTTCCCTATGAATTCTAAAGTCATTAAATCAATAAAGTATTTGGATACTGTTTTAATTCTGTGTTAACTGAGGTAGTAAATGATTCTGATACATTTCAAAAGCAGCTGCACTGAAAGAATATGCAAGTAGGGGATGCTTTCCATTAAAACAAAACAAAAATAATCTATCTAGCACTGCCTCTGTGGCCTGAGAGGCAGAAGAAACCCAGAGGCGTACTGCTATGATCTCAGACTCAGCGAGCCTGCCTGGTGCTTCAGAACTGCAGGGCTAGCTAAATGCTGCACGTGGTCTCTCATCCTAAGTATCCATAGAAACGTTGTTACACGGAGACAGTTTAGGATTCAGGTTCTCAGTCACAAGCCACGTGGGGCTGGTGGCTCTCACAGCATGCAACAGAGGGACATTTCCATCCCTGCAGAATGTTCTAACCATTGGGCCAATCTGAAGGCCTGGGGAGGACATCACTCTAGATAAGAAGTTCAGCAAGTCTCACGTGGCCTCGAAGTGCATCCTGGGCTTCTCCTGGTTTTGAAATGTTAGTAACTAACTGATAGAAAAACTATACCACAAGTACTAGTAAGACTCCACTGTGGTGTGTCTGGCCTGGTTTTCAGTGTGGAGTTCTGGGGCAGACTGTTCTGTTCTGCTGCCTTCCACAGCTGCTATTCTGTTCAGGGCCACTTCTAAATCCACGATTTACTTACTCAGCTACTTACCCCCGTAGTACTATAAATACAGCCAGCTGCTGGGGAATAATTAACACTAAGCCTCTGATTTTTGAGGGATCATTAGTCCTATTCATCTTGACCAATCAAGACCCTGCTGTGTCTCAAATGTGTACTGAGATGATGAAAACCTCCACAAATAAATGATTCTCTCGAAACACTTCTCTGTGATTCTGTGTTCTAGAACTTACTCAACATTTTTTCATTTATTTTCCAACCAGCCTACCATGGTATAACAACCTTTGCCCTGGTGTTTCAGCTCTACAAGGTTAATTCTTTACAGGTCAGGGGTTTTTACAGATTCCCTTCCTGTGCTCCAGTAAGAAAAATCATGGCCACGTGAGTGCCTGGTAATTCTGAAAGATGGACACTTCCTAAAGGAGGGGAATGGGGTGTTACCATCTAAGTTCAAATAAACTGCTCCTGTACTGAAAAAAAAAAGCGCACCATCGGTTTTTCCTTTCTGATTTAGGGCAACAAAAGACCTGGAAATTTTCTCTGATTAACCCTGTAAGGTTTGATTACCTCCCTTTCCTACATTAACAGAACTGTTTCCAATTGTCTGTGTGAATACTTGGGCGCGTGCACTTCTGCTTCATTGGCAAAAATCACACAGCTGTCATTAGCACAGTATTTACATTCCAGCCACGGTTTTCTGTGCAGGACCAAGACATCAGTTGTTAGATTAAAGCTGAGAGTCACAAGCAGCTGCCTATCCAAATAGTGTGGTGCTTTTAATACAGGTAATCTGTGGGGAAACTAGTCATGACTTTGTTCCATCAACTTAATAATATTATCCTAAACAAAGAAGTGGAAAGGCGAGAGGCAA